AAGATGACAATGTCGTCAATGAATGCTCGTATGAAGTGAGTATGCTTGGCGAGAAGTCGATCCATATGCCGCTGGGCATAGGCTGGCGTATTCCGAAAGCCCATCAAAGCAACCCTGGACTTCTCGAGGGCGCGAGGACTAATAACCGTGAATCTATCCCAATGAGGAGGATAGACGCCAAACTATTAGAAAAACGAAGTTGCATCGATAGCAGTAACGTAAGACTTACCTCGAATTGCCGAAATGATGGTAGACTATAAAGTGAGAGGAGAATTATCCGGGACAACCACTCGGCCAGAAGAACCACTCAGTTAAGCTGACGAAGGTTAATGAGAACTCTGCCTTCTTCCACCCCGTGAACGGTTCGCTAAACAACAAATACAGGAGAGTTGAAAGGTTCCGTAAGGGGTGTCGAGTCCGGGGCCTAGGTGATTTGCCATACCTAGTCTGACATGGATAAGGCTGGGTTAGGCATAGAGGCTTCGGAGACCGTAGTAGATGAACCGGGTAGAAAGACGTCTTTGGGAGTGTCGATGAGGCTGTGAACTGCCTCAGTCATATTGAAGGTTATACCTTGAGACTGGTACTGGATGAAATCCGTCATATTGCTCACTAGAGCGGCTGCGGCTCCCGTACAGTACGCGAACATGGCCATGGTTCCTAACGCCATGGCCGCTATTCCCTGTTTCTACGAGACAGGTTTATATCCACTGTCCTGGGACTTGTGAATATGGCTTAGGCTGGTGCCTTGTTCAATAACAAGGACTCGGTCCGAGCTGTCTTGCACAGCGACCACCTTGTGAGTTTTGGCATCTAAGATAGCATTCGCGGCAGCTGAGTGCTTGGCTGTAAGAGTGACAGAGCGGTCGTCGGGTAGCGGCTCATATTCGGCCGGGATAGAGGCCCGTTGGCCAGCGAGAGGTGTAATTCTCCTACCGGCCTTGACGTTCCTATCGCACTCCTTCGTCTTACGAAATACTTCCATTGTTATGGTGAAATCGTCGAGACTCTTGAAAGTAACCGTACGGGAACAATAGTCGATGTTGGCTCCGTACGGGGCCAAAAACTCGTTACCCAAGAGCAGGCCAGGAGGCAGGTCTTTAACTACCAATGCTGAGTGTGAGATCTCTATCAAGGCGGGGCAGCCGGCTTTGTTCTTGCCGACCAGAAAGAGCGAAAAGGTAGCACATTCTGTAGTCTTGATGGTTTCCTTATGTACGCTACGCAACATGCTCATACGGGGCTCAATGGAGTGTTTCAGCTTATTAAGAAAGGAGCGCGAGATAAGGGATCGAGCAGCTCCGGGGTCAAGGCAGATCTCTCCTGCTTCCGTAATAGGGGACGGCATAGCCTTGACCCTCAAGTACGAGTATTCGGACAGGGAGTTGCTGCTCGCTTGCGAAGTGACTACAGCGGGTGCCCGCATGACGACGAAGCCGGGAGCGGGAGGCCTTGTAGCTGAGACTTGCACGGCGATATCTCCTTCGTCGGAGTCGTCGTTAGGGATTTTGACTTTGGGGACAACAATCCCTACTTTGGCAGAGGAACAACGTTTGATATGCTCGAACAACAAGTTACGAGAGTCGTGTTGCTTGTGGCAATAGCCGCATGTGCGTTGAGAGAGTTCTTCTTTCGCGAAGTCCCGAATCCGTTCGGCGCACGCAGCGTTGGACGGGGAGCAGTTCTGGACGTGGGCCAACTTGGCCTTAGTTGAGGGGAAGTCGGGCCCGTCGCTCTCATTGCCGTCCGGTAGACCACCGGGAGAAGCCGCCTGGCTATGTAAGGGGGAGAGTTGGCGGCGAGAAGCTGGTTGCGAGGCCTGACGCGTCAATCGGCGAGAGAGGTCCCTAGGATGAAGCTGTAGGACGTTCCCGAAGTTGATACTGCAAGGCTGGTTTTGAGCTCCGACCTGAAGAGGAGGATTAACATGCTGCTGTATGGGGAACCCAGCCGGGGCACCATAGGTGGCGGGACGTGGTCCACGAGGAGGCTGACCGCGTTGTCCGGCGACTGGCGTGGGGTTTTGGGTAGCGAGCGTTGGGTTAGCCAAGCGCTCTGTTTCGTAGAAGCGTTGGGCTTGTCCGGTAGAGACGCCAGTGGCATTAAGATGGGCGGCCGGCGTGTTGGACTGGAGAGGTACACCGCTTGCACGGGTTGCTCCGAGGGGTTTAGGCGAGGTCTGGTGGGGGAGAGCGAACTGCACTGTCGGAGAGGGGTTCTGGTGAAGATCGGTCTCGTCGGCGCCTTTGCCGCCTATGGCCTGCAAAATAAGGTCCATTTTTCTACAAAGGTTATCGTTGGCGATGCAAAACTCTGTTCTCTGCTTGTCCATCTCAGATCTGAACTCCTGGCCCTGACGATCTACCAGCTGTGTTAACTGGTCGAGGACATGCTGTAGTTGACCGATTATCTGGTCAAACATGCCGTCGACTGTTCTACTAGGCTGAGCCATATCCCACTATACGCCCAGGTTTGGGCTTTCTGGATATGTGAGAGAATAGAGGTTGCTCTTGAACTCGGCGGAGGATCATTCAATTGACGGCAAAGCGGTTAGCTAGCGTTCCCACAAACGTTCGCCCAAAAGGAAGAGTTGGGAGAATTCGGCTACTTGGCGCCCCAGTCGGGTTATTGCGAGGCAGGGTTATTGCGAGGCAGGGTTTTGGCGCGTTTCCTCAATGGATTGTCGCTCTAAGAGAAAATAAGAGGGTTGAAATCTTTTGCTCACGATACTTCCGTGGAAGTGTGAAAGGTATGCTCGGGTAGAATTGTAGGTGTGCTCGGGTAGAAGTGCAGGTGTGCTCGGGTGAAAATGTGGGTGTGCTTGGTCGCGGGATACGCGTGCGGCATTATAGTAATGCCGTGGCACACCGCCCTACTTGCCGCCTTCGTCCTTATCTATGGAGGTCCTCATGTAATCTACCGATACGCACGGCGGCATGTCCACTGTTGGCATGCGCGATTGAGGCTGTTCCTGCATCAGACCGGCTCCCTTTACCTCGTCCAGAAAACCCCAAATGAACGACTACCACGGGCTCACTTTACCTTGTCCAAAAAAAACCTAAATGAGCGATTGCGACCGACTCCCTTTGCCGCGTCCAAAAAAACCCCGAATGAGCGACTGCGACTGACACCCTTTGTCTCGTCCAAAAAACCCGACTCCCTTTGCCTCCAAAACCCGAATAAGCCACAGGCGAAAAGCGACCCCTACGTTGCCAGCTGCCAAGGACCTACGGGTAGATAGCCGGACACCACCACCACCTTCTACTACGCTCCTTGGATGTAATCCAGAGCGAGCTGGATATCCCTCAGGTGTCCTCCTTGTCCCCAATCGAGAATGGCTACCACACACTGGTGGGGGCATGTAAAGTGCTCCGCACTTGACACTAAGAAAGTTTCGTTGTCAACAAGGCGCTAATGAGCGCGGGAAGTTTGCCTCCAGCACGCAAAGCCTGCCAGGCTCGTCATCAATAGACAGCGTGCCTGCGACGGCCACCCTATTGATATTAATATATTTGGCCTACAAGCCTCTAGTTGCGAAGACGGTGTTGAGCCGCACGTAACAGCAGGATCAGAAAGGGCGACTCCCGATTATAACCTTAGTTATGCCGGCCGTCCCAAGGTGCCCTGGGCTTCATCCGAGCCCGTGTAGCGGTGGCTGCGGAGCTAGTGCTATGTGCTGGCAAATTCCTCGAATTTGGGCGTCGGAAAATCTGCAAGAACGCATTCCAGCGTCATGGAGGTGAATGCTGAAGACATGTTGGTTGATTAATACCTCGGCAGGAGCACAGTTGGTAGTGGTTTGTCAGATCCGTCGCCCTAGACAGCTACGGTGGGAAATGGCGCTAGCCAAGCCTACTGCAACGCCCGCTATCGCCATCTCGGCTAGGTGACGCGAACGTGTTAGGTACACGTATTACTTTCAGTGTCGAAATATTACGCTTGCATCTTTAACTCCGTAGAGATCAACTCTTACAGCCAAGGGCGTTCGCCACTGGCACTAGGCGTTAAGCCTTGGGTCTGGGTAGTCGATTGGTTGCTCTCTGGGAGGGTGGAGGTGGGCGAGTTTGACGGCTTTTTCTTCAACCTAGTTAGGTACCTAACCCCTGCGTCATTACCGGAAAGCAAACACAACCATAATGTCACTGCACATCACTTTTCGTCGTGAGGTCCATTCCAAAGGGAAGGAGAGAGGTGTATTCCCCATTGAAATGCCTTAGAACCTTTATAATATCCATCCTCTATTGTAACACTTAGACATACCACCACTCCCTCCCGGTATCCCACGTTCATTTGAAGGGTAAGCGCCTGTCTGTCTGATCTCTATCTGGCTAATTGTCTTCTTTTTCCAGCATTCCACACTCCCCTTCTGTCCAGCATCATCTTTATCACTCACTGAGCTGTGCCGTGCCGTGCTGTGCCTGTGCCGTGCTGTGCCGTGCCATTGTGCTATTATATAGGTTGGGACCAAGTTGCAAAGCGATGCCTAGTAATACTATGTAAAGCTATGCTATACTAGCCCAAGTAATTCAAGGCTAATGTCTTAGTCCAAACAAATGGGAAGGGAAAAAGAGTCACGACAATAAGGTCGTATCTGGTGAAATAAAACGCAAAAAGGGGAAGGGTGTGCGGACCAAAAAAAAAAAGAGAACAGACCACAGACACGTGATTGGATAGAGGGTTTGATGGTAGGGGGTTGAGCATGTGAAGGCAGAAACAAGACCGAAAGGAGAAAGGAAAAGAAAAAAGAAAAAGTAGGCTCGTCCGTCGCAGTTCGCTACAACTGTGCAGCAAAAAGCCTCTTCCCTGTCTCCCTCCACTCTTCGGCCTATCCCGCGATGCCGATCAATTCTCCTAACTCTCCCGCTTCGCGAGACGTTTTGCGCTGACTACTGTAGCTTCCGTCGACTACAGCAAACTGCCGATTCGAGCACCCCGCTAAGTCCGCTCCGCAACCCGCCAACCGATTCGGCGCTTTCGGCGAACAGCAACAAACCTAGACAATGGGCGCGCGCCACCCAGGTTCGAAGACGCCACCGCGATTGCTCTCTCCTCCATAAACACCCGCGTTGACAGAGCGTGGTTTTAGATCTCGGGCCGCCGTACAATCTCAGAGCAGAGACCATTGTGACGGATCTGACGACCGAGCTTCCGCCATGGATTCACTCGTGCTACGGTCCCGGCAGAGACGCGCCCGAGCAGCTTTTCGGAGGCTATCCGCTCGAACAGAGCTTTGAAGAGATCAGGTTGCACTATACACAGGCAGCGATGTCGGGAAACCCCCAGACTGCCGTAAGTCAAGCTTTGCGCGTCCAGACTAACCAAGAAAAGAATTCGCTGACTTGCTTGCCAGTTGAACGAGATTGAAAGCTACAAACAGGCCAAGCATGCGCTGCTGCTGTTGCCGTTGCCCTAGCTGTAGTTTGTGACCATGTCCTCGGAAGGGTAGTAGCTGCCGAGCAATTCCTCGCCCGACTCCAGGGCAGTGCCGGAGCTGAACATGTCGTCCTCTATCTTGATGCCCATTTTCATTAAAATTCGGCGTCTGAAGAGACGGTCCAGCTACGAGGAAGGAGCTAGTGGGTATACTGGGCGAGTTTTGGACATGGTGGTCCATGGTCTCCCTCGATGAGGCGGCGCCCTCCTCCAGTTAGAACGCCGCTACCTGTTGACTTTGCCTTGGGTATGAGTTTGCGAGATATTCCGGCACCGACTCCCTCGATACTAAGCTAAAATGATCTGGTAACGTCCAGCTAAAAGGAGAAGACTGAGTGGAGGCCGCGGGCTTGAGAAACGCAGCTATAGAGGAACTTTGTCGAGAATAATTATCAAACTCGTCGCTAGCACCGTGCGTCCGTACTAGAGTGCACCACAACGAATCCCACTGGGTTTGTCCTAGGGGCGTGTATGTCTGTTGCTGGCCTTAGGCGGCGTGGTAACACAGCGCGCCGCCCACCTGAATACTGATATCAAACTGTACTTGCCAAGCAGGATTAGCTGAAGACTGGTTCGTCACTGCTGAGGGGTTAGCCGTCTGCGTTATCGGCTGGGGAAGCAGGATGTAGGCTGCTTCGAGGCTCGTAAGCTCTGCGTACTCCTGCATTTTGAGGAATGATTGCGTGGTGCGAGACTGTCTCGGGTCGATAGCGGGGGGGGAGTAATTAGATCCAAGTCTTTGGAATTCTCTGGGCCTATGACGAAAAAGTCTTGGGCCAATATGGGAAAAGATCAATAACAGGAGGTTATCATGCAGATTGGTCCTAGAACTTGTAGTGCGGTACCTCCAAAAGATAGCATCCCGGACCCTGAAGGAGATCGTGAGAAGTAGGACCAGGTGGTGACAGACATGGAAGTCTATTTCCCTGGGAGGGGGTGAAGAAGTCGCACTTGACGAAGCGAATAGAATGTGAGTATGTATATGAGTTTCGTAGACTGGAACAAGAACGTCTAGTCTAGACACGTATGTATTGCAAACAGGAAGGGAGCTTTGGTGGCTGACGCATATCGCATGGGCACTGGGTATATGTCAGCCAGCGGTCTCGGGAAAGCCAGAGGACGCCCCATACGTATCAATGCGGTTGCAGAAGTGGCCCATAGCATGCCCCATGAGCTGCAATAGCTTGGACGATACCGCAAGCCCGACCCTACTAAGACTTCAGAACCGGAAAAGCTGCTGTTATTCGCTGGCCAAAGAGGAATACGGGAGCCGTGGCGTTACGGGCACCTGAGCCGGCGTCTAACAAGTTCATTGTCTGTGTGAGGGCCTGGTCCTCCAGGCCTCCCAGACGCTCTGACTAATCAGACGCCAGTTGGGTGAATCCACCCGACCAGCCAGAGCCCCACCTTGAGACGCCCTGGAAGAATCTCGCGACGGGAGGCTTTTGAGCTTCTTTTCCCTTTTCCCTTTAGTTTAGAATCTTCGTCTATAGCGCCCAATAGAGGAGTTCCGCCCTCATTCCAAGCCGGCCGTGACAGTCTGCTGTAGCTTGTTCCTTCTCTGAACTTCCACATACCCCCCCGATTAGAATATCCACAAACATATTATTTACTAGCTATTTACAGCTAATTAGATCTTCCTCTATATTTCAAAATCTGAAAACATCACTTCACTTTCCATTCTATACTGAAGAAATGTGGCAGGAATATAGCCATGTTAGGCCCAGGTAGCGATTTTATGCCATACAACTGGCCATACCGACTCGCAACCTAGACCCTCATCCCTTTGCCTTGGGTGCCCACCGATGAAACTTAGGGATCTAATAAATCTCTTCAACCTCTAGAATAAAGTTCAAACTCACTGATTTCGACTGCTTTATCCCAGCTGTGACGTGTTACAATCCTGGCTCAAGTCTGCAGGAGGCGCTGGAAGCCGACTGCTGATTGGGCAGCACTGGCGAGCAGGACGGGCCCCACATGAGCTCGGTGCGGCCAATCAGGCGGCGCTCAGTGCGTTCGGGTGCCAAGACTGGGAAGACCCACTGAGCAGAAAGAACAACCAATCAGGAAAGTGCTCAGTTACCATTGAGAGCTCAGTCGTCCTTGAAGACTGAGCGCCCCGGAGGCCCTGAGCACTGTAAGGGAGAACCCTGATTGGTCCGCCTTAGATAGATATATACGACGACCGTAGCCACGGTCCTAGATAGTTCTTGCTTGGTTCTTCAAGCAAGCAATACACATTCACTACACTCATACACTTTGAGTGGCATTCCGATTTGACTGTATTACCCGTGCAATAGGAGCTTGCCCTTTGTTCTATCTTCATAATTACCAACCCCAGCATCCTGTGGAGCCCGTGCTCCCTTACAGACAGACGACCCTAACAGTCGAGTGGTTTGTAATATGACGGCAGTCAATAGCAAGAGGGAAAAGCATCGCTAATGTAGCTATACCATTGTCTAAGGATTCCAAGATAAACAAAGGAAAATTTACATAGGAGTTGTTCATATACAGGGAGTTGTTCGTGTGCAGGCTTTTTGTGGCGGGGCAGCGCACGGGCCCATGCCGCTTTTTGGGTGCCAAGACTTATATTCCCGATTGGGGCTAGTGCGGGGTCAGCTGCACGGAGGGGTCAACAGTGGTGTCAGATTAGCCCATGCCAAGTCACGTGGTTGACCCCGGTCGTGGCGCCGATCCACCGCAGGGGGGGGGCTGGTGCGCCACAACAGAGACTTCTAGAAGAACGGGCGAGAGCTAGGAATTGAAGGAACACACAAGAATACACACAATTGAACCTACCCAACCGTGCAACTGACTAAATCCAACAAGTGGTGGCCGTGACGTCAGCGTTACTGGTTAGAATGCCTAATTTCTGGCTCACCGATTTCCTCTCCAGGGTCTGCACATTTCGATCAGTTTTCCAATTTCCTCTCTAGGGTCTACACATTTCGATCGGCTTGCCGACTTCCCACCTATGACCAGCATTTTCTAACAGTTAATCTCTAGAACCGTATGGATTAGTCAATATGGCGGAGCGTTTACTCGGCAACCCGGCCTGTTCCCAAGCGCTAAAGACTTGTACGACCTTCGCGGGCTCACTCTCTTTCTCAGCAAGCTTGAGCCTATCAACCTAGACCAAGAAACAAGTGATATAAACGAGTATTACCACTCAGGCGGTGAAGCCGATAGCCCAGACTAGGTACAACTCCGCCTGTGGAGATACACAAACCACCTAGCGAATCTCTTGGTGCGGCACCACAAGGTACTGGCAATCATGCCAGCCTACCAAGGCAAACTATTCTTTCAAGTGGTTGAATCGGCAGATCCCACACAGGTCGAAGAAGACTCCATGTTCAAGCCGCAGGTCGAGGAGGACCTCACGCTCAACCGGCAGGCCGAGAAGGACTATTACAAACCACTCGACTGTTAGGGTCGTCTGTCTGTAAGGGAGCACGGGCTCCACAGAATGCTGGGGTTGGTTGTAAGAGAAGGCAGGTACGCCTGATCAAGGTGGTCACAATAGGAGCAACAAGCAGGGCGAGCAATGACTGGTATTGGCGTAAGACTTCAACCTGGCCTGAGCTAAAGAGGTGTGCGAAGGCCATGGTCTATATACACGTGAAAGGGGTTACGAGTCATCCTTGCGTAGCCAGGGTGGTAGTGGCGATAGTGCGTGGCCCTGTTAGCGGTGGCGATAGTGGCGACGGTGGCGAGGGTGGCCCTGGTGGCGGTGGCCATGGTGGTTACGAGGGTGGTTTCCTTACATTTCTTCATCGCAAAGCAACCTGGCTAAATGCCTCCCTTTGACCAGCCCGCTTCAGGCTTGCTCACTCGTACAGCTCTTATGGAAGCCGCGATACATTATTAATCGTAGCCTTCCCCGTCTCCTCTATTAGTATCCGATTTCTAATCTCAGACTCCATTTGAGTCTATAGCAAATACGTACCGCGTATTAACCCTCCTAGCGGATAGATATATCGCAGCTCGAGTTGTGGGTTACAAATACTCAGATACCAGCTCGAGTTATGAGTTGCAAATATTCCGATATACCAGTGCACCGACATGGGCTCTTCTCCAACTATCGCCCTTCACATGGCGCCTGTGTACAACCATGGCCCTTCACATGGCTGCTCGCCCTTCACATAGCTGCTCGCCCTTCACATGGTTGCTTGCCCTTCACATAGCTAGTATTTAAGCAAGAGCCTTTTCGAATTCATCCCATGAGAGTTTGCGCGATATGGTGATGTTGTGCTGGTGACTTCTCCGCGTCTCCTTTCTCGTGTACACATACTTAGGGAGCCTAGCGGCCAGCGACTCCTGGATATGTCTCGACAGACCAGGGTTGTCGATGCTGTTAATGAACTTCCAGATAAGAGCCACGTCGGAAATCGGTTTGTCCTCTTTATATTCCTTATTAAGGAAGCGGTAGGGGCGTTTGAAGTCTCGCCTGCTTTGGGGATGTAGGGTACGTTTTGGACCATCAAGAGGTGAATTGTGGCTAGCCAAGCGACGGGTGCCGCTATGCTCTAGGCCTTTGTCTTGAATAATAATCTGACGCTCTCTAGTGTCTGGTTCAAGTTATTAGAATTGCCATCTTGGCTTCGACGCAGTGTGTACTTACCAGGTTGGGTCTCTATGTCAGCTGCCTCGGCGAGGATTGAATTGCTGATAACAATCTGGCGCTCTTGCGTGTCTAGTTGAAGTAATTAGAATTGCCATCTTGGCTCGACGTAGTATATACTTACCAGGTTGGGTCGCCATATCAGCTGCCTCAGCGAGGCTTGAATTGCTAACAACAATCTGGCGCTCTTGCGTATCTGGTTCAAGTAATTAGAATTGCCATCTGGGCTTCGACGCGTGTGTACTTACCAGGTTGGGTCGCCATGTCAGCTGCCTCGGCTTCATTGCTGATAGTGGAATGATTGCCCCTTCGAATGGCTTCGATGCTCTCGTATATCCTGACGAGGTCTTGCTGGAGATGGGTGAGTTTATTGGCGAATTCGGAAAACGTTTTGGTCACTTCCTCCTTGCCTTGGTCAACTTGCTGCTTTAACTTGTTGACATCGGAGGTGATTTTTTCTGACGTCGCCTTGGACTCGGCGAGAGCGGCCGTGACAAGTTGCTGGTTACGTTCTGACGTCGCCTTGGACTCGGCGAGAGCGGCCGTAACAAGTTGCTGGTTACGTATAAGGTCGTTTTGCAACGAGGTGGTGGAGGCGTTGGCTTGTCTGGCATGTTCATCAACGGCCGTTGTCAAAACTCTCACTTCTCGGCTAGTATACTGAGCACTCAGATAGCTGGCCCAGTTGTTGTTTAGTGAATGATGTGGCTCCTCGAGGTTTGACGCTGGAGCCATCGAAGACTGGGACGACAGGGAATCCTCGGGGGGGCTTGTTAACGCTGGAGCTTCCATCGAAGACTGCGACAACAGGGAATCCTGAGAGGGGTTTGTTAACGATTGAGTTTCCATCGAAGACTGCGGCAACAGAGAATCCTCGGAGGGGTTTGTTAACGATGGAGTTTCCATCGAAAACTGCGAAGACATGTCGAATATCTATTGCAGCACTCGTGCTGTCAATGGTATGTCGGTCTCGTCGTGGATATATTAGAGATGGCACTGCTTGCCAAACCGATGGAACCTCTCAACGGTAAAAATTTAGTTGTGGACTTGTGTGCCGAAACCGAAATGGGTAAAAATTTAGTTGTGGGCTTGTGTGCGATGTTGCCCTAAATAGTATTGGGAAGGCATAGCCTTGGGAAGGCACATCCCGAGAACCTTTTTCCCCGTTCCTCAATCTACAAGGAAGGAGCGGCAACAGGCAGGCGTCGGAACAAGCCATGATGCTGCTCCTTCCCTAGAGATTGGAGCGGGCAAGAGAACAAGTCGCACGCGGCAGACAAGAAGCGGAAGAAGCAGACAAGCACGGGCAGCAAGAAGCAGACAGCACGGGCAGCAAGAAGCAGACAAGCACGGGCAGACAAACGCAGGCAAGACTCGGAATCGTCGAGCAATAACAGGGCACATACAAGTTTGGCAACAGGGGCAGGGCACATACAAGTTCAGCAACAGGGCACAAGTCGGCAACAGGGCAGGGCACATACAAGTTCAGCAACAGGGCAGGGCACATACAAGTTCACAGGGGCAGGGCATATACAAGCTCAGCAATAGGGCATGGCAAGGGCGAAGACTGCCCTGTAGACACTTGCTGAGAAGAGTAAAGTTGTTCGCTGCTAGCACCCCTCTTGGCTGTCGACTTTTTAAATATTCCTCGGCTAAGTTTTGCTGGTAGATACAAGTTTTAGCTGAGCACACAAGTTTGCTGAGTAGACACAACTTTCTGCTGTGAACACAACTTTCTGCTGTGGACACAAATTTCTGCTGTGGACTTTGCCGTGCCACGTCACTTCCAGCCAAGGCAAGCGCGAGCCCCAAGTACACAAGCTGTTTGCCGTCGGCACGCTCCTGGCTGTAGACTTTTGCCTTTTGGCTTCTACGTCCCCGGGGGCTAGGGCAAGCGTAAAGCCCCCTGTAGACACTTGCTGAGAAGAATGAAGTTGTTTGCTGGCACCCGATTTTGGCTTCCTCTACGCGCCTCGCACACGAATGGGAACACGAGAATAGTTACGGATTAGGCAGCGATAGAACGAGGACGAAATTGGCAATGAATAGATTACGGTTTTCTCGATAAATTCTTCCTAGTGAGGGCCGAACATGTGTGATATAGATAGGTGGTGAGGACTGTGATAACGGTGGGCGAAGACGTTGCTGGCCATCGGTTGCGGAGTATTGTGTTGCCTTGATTTCCTTTGCCCTCTGGCTTGTTATGGATGTACCCGTTTTGTCCTTTAATCTCAGGTAAAAACATGGCGCGGCACACAAACAGCCCAAAATAAACTGATAACCAGCCAGCCTCCCTATTCGAAAAACCTCGTGATATGATCAAAAGACCTCCACACCACTAGATGATATAGGCCGAATGGTCAAGGTATGTGCCAGGGAAAAAGTTGCCAAGCCATTCCTTGCGCGCGTTGGCCTTCTTCTTGGAGAAGGCCAGATCGAACAGTTGGGACTCTAACATTCCCAACACTGGCCAGTGAGGCCTGCCCCGGCCAGTGAAGCCTGCTCTGGCCAGTTTGTAGCGCTCACGAGGTTGACGGGGTCTCGGGGCAGTAGTATGCCTGCCCGAGGTATATGTTGTATGTAAGAGAAGGTAGGTACGCCTGATCAAGGTGGTCACAATGCAGGCAAGAAGGTAGGGGAGCAATGACTTGTATTGGTGTAAGACTTCAACCTGGCCCTCGCAAAGGAAGATGGGCGAGGGCCATTGTTTATATACCTGCTCAGGGGTTCGGCCCGGGCATCAGTCTGCGGTCGTGGCGCCACGGCGTAGCGTATGCCAGCTGGCAGTGTTCTAGCCAGTTGGTGACAAGTGGTGGGCGCGCACCCTGTGCGCGCAGTTGGTGTTTGGGGTGTCCTTTTCCTTACATTGTAGAAGCCTGCCCGAGGTGTATGTTGTGGAAGCCTGCCCGAGATGTAGGTTCCGGAAGCCTGAGCCGTTATTACGTACAGAAAGTTGTATATTACCGCTAGAGAAGTATTTGGCCATGTGGCCGGTCGACCCGCCGTACTGCCACGCTCTCGTGAGCGGGGAGACCTTTGTGAACCACTTCAAGTTGTTGAATGAGGTCTTGATAGCGTCTGTGTCAAACATGACTGTCTTTGTTAATCTCTGTAGCCTTGAGGGACTGTGGGACTTTGGCGGTAACCAACATGGGTTCTACCGGTGGCTAGAGCTGGGTGTCGGCCAGGGTATCGCGTGCCGGTAGCGGGCCGGCATGGAAGCTTCCCCCGGCCGTTAGAGTTGTGTTGTAGCATAGTGGCACTTGCGGAGGGACCTTGCTTGGCTTTGAGGGCCTCATTCTTCCATTTCCACGTGACCAAGGCCTTCTCCGGCTCACACCAGTAGCATTTGCCTCTCTTCGGGATGTGTACCATCTACCGAACACCAACCACCGAAAAACAACAGTTCAATCTAATAAAGGCCTTCCTTACCGTCAAAACACATCTTCAAAAGCCTCTCAACGCATTAACAGTTTTGTTACATAACAGTCTTGTTATAAGTTGCAGACATGTCCAGCTCTTCGTATCTTTCCTTCGCATTATCCGCATTATCCGTATTATACCTTGTCATTACTTCTTCTTGCCCTAGCTGCCTTTGTATTCGAGCTTGTAGAGGGAGTTGTCGAGGGGTTTGTGAAAGGGTTTGTCGAGGGGTTTGTCGGTTTGTCAAGGGGTTTGTCGGTTTGTCGAGGGGTTTGTCGGTTTGTCGAGGGGTTTGTCGAGAGGTTTGTCGAGGGGTTTGTAGAGAGTTGAACAAAGGAAGCGAATCGCTTCTCTCTAGCGGACTCATTGAGAATTTGAGAGAAGCTCTTGCAGTCAAGTTGCTCTTGTTCAATCTGGTACTCCCATACGCCCAAGTCGTCAGGTTAGGCGTCTTCAACAAGGCCGCCAAAGAGAAGCAGTTCGACCAGAGTTAACCCCTCTAGGATGCCTTGTTAATCTGGTATTCCCAAAGACGGAAATCGTTAGAGTAGGCGTCTTCAACGAAGCTGAGGGCATTCTGGAGGCTGGTCGTCTCCGAGAAGGGGCGTTGATCGGTTTCTCGGGAACTGCAGTCGGTTAATAAAGCTGCACATATTGTCAAAGCTTTCCCAGCGCAAGGTAGCAAACTCCAAAGGTCTCGGCGTGAGAGCTTCCCTAGGTCGGGAATGGCCTTGCAGACAATGTCAAAGGTCCAGCCGTGCTGACTAAGGATTTGAACGACTGTAGGGTCACTCAGCGATGTGAGGAGGAATGAGGCCGCCTTGCGATGGCCTACAAACCACTCCTGGTATTCTTTCCTTGTGGTGGCCCTGTCAGGTTTAGTCTCTTCAATGTATTGCAGGAGCATGGCACCCCCTAGGGCCAAATGCCGGTTTTCTAGGCTTCCAAGTTCTCGTCGCCCTTGAGAACTGAACCGTCATGATGGTGAGGGCTTCGTGGTGGTGTTGTGGGCTTCGAGAGTGCTTGTAGGCTTTCGTGTGTGCGCTAGGGCGTTGTAAGCGAAGATTCGGCAATTTTGCGCTGCTGGGCGTTGGATTTGGCGATGTGGGCCTGTAGAAATGGTAATTTCTAGGGCTTCAGGGTGCGCCTTCAATCGTGAAGAACCAATGTGAAAGCGGAAAGAGACTCATAACCTTTTGGTAGAAACAGATGACTGCATTGCTTAGAAGACTCGCTATCTGGGCTGCGCCGGAGGTGATGGTCTTGTTGGATTCACCAGGGTACCGGTACTGGACTCAACAGGGCGTGGCTGCACGCCGAAAACTGATGGTTCAAGTGATGGATTGTAGATGTCTGTTCTTCTCTCTAGCTTTCTGGCAGTGCCAGAAAGCCCGTTCTTATACTACTATTGTGG